GGTGGCGGGGTTGGATGAACCCCGCGGCGGGGGTCCGGGGTCCGCAGCCTAACACCGGCTTTGCCCCCGGGGTTCCCCGCTCGACAACGCTGCTTTTGACCCACAAGAGTGGGTCTGGCAAATACCAAGAGAGATAAACCAAGGACACTACAATCCCTATCGGTAAAAGCTACATATAGATTGCTGAAACCAAGGGTTGATGTTGAAACAATCGTACAAGATAGATGGGTTAGACATTTAAACCACCAGTACCTACCGCATTTTCCGTACCCCCCCGCCTCGAATGAACTTGGACAGGAGGGGCAGGCCGATTCGGCTTCCGCGTTAACAGCCACCCCAACCTGTAGGTACTGGTGGTTTAAACGTAGACATTAATTTATTAAAGAATAAAAAACTCTTTTGCTAATCTCAAGCAACGTCCTGCCAAATTTGCCTCTTTACAATGGGAGATATTGCATAGATGTCTACCGACAAACAATTGGTTGATAGATCACTCTAATCTTGAACAGAAAGGCTTAGCAACCCCACGGTGCAATTCCTGCCTTTCTTCTTTCCCACACAAAAAGATATGTGAAACCGTACTACACATTTTCTTACAATGCCCAGGTACAGTTTTATTATGGAGACGTTGGGATTGTATCTGGAAAGCATTGACAGGACTGGACTGGCCGTGGGAATGGAGGGTAGTCTTGTTTGGGCACTGGACTCCCATGGGAATAGACCTAACAGAATTCCTAAGCAATTTTTTTACTATTGGTGGAAAGGCTATGTTGTATCCATCTGGTATAAAAGGTGTGTTTGGGTCAATGAAAATGTATGTTGTTTTTTTTTTTTTTTTTTTTTTTTTTTTTTTTTTTTGAATTTTTTTTTTTTGCTGGTTTTTTTATTTTTTTTTTTTTTTTTGAGAATGTATCTTTAGAAGGTGGGGAAATTTCGGATCTAATTGTCCAATTTGTTCAGACAGAAATAAGATCCCAGTGGTCTAAAGTTAAAACTAAGTTATCAAGCCTTCATTAAAAAAAAAGATATTTCGAAATTAATTCCAAATTTCCAAGTAAACTGGCTGGGAAGGTCTGCGTGGGAGGGGTTGGGGAAAATTGAGTGGCCAGGCTAGGAAGATACGGGGGTCCCTCCCAAGAGGAATTATCACCTCTGCTTTCGGGATTGGTTCTCGATTCAACCAGGATCCTCCCTTAGATCCCCTTGAATGTGTTTTGCAGATCCTTTCCCACCCTCTAAGCTTTCTCTGGTTGATCTTCAAATGCTATGGTCGGGAACGGAATTAGATTATAAAATCTGATAAATCTTAGTCCCCACCTCCTGGTTCGGAATAGGGGATAACATGCGACTCGAATAGGACAGAAAACACAGCTGGTTCATGCCACCATACTGTTAATAGTACCAATCCTTAACTGTTCTATCTGGTGCCCTGTTAATAAGGGTGAAGAGGTACAGGTGACAATGGAAGTTCCCAAAGCTCAGAGATCAACAGTCGTCATCATCATCATTTTCGTTATCATTTACATCATCACCATCATCATCATTATCAGTAGCTGTAAATGTGGGACGCTGGGCCCGGTTCCCAACAGGTGCTGTACTATTATCCTTCCATTGTAATTTCAGGGACGCTGGACCCGTTTTCCAGCAGGTGCAGCTCCCCACCAATAGACTGGAGCCCCTGGTGTGTCAGGTAGGAGTGTATGCTCTTATCATCACTCCGATCTGATGTCACGGGACTTTTCTCTACTAAAAAATAAAAACAAAAATAAAAATCCATTTGGGTATGCAAATGGTGGAGCTATAACGACAACCAGGTGTTCAATCCGGGAAGACGGTAGCATGCCGGCCTTGCTCCTTTGGGTCCACTGGAGTCTTGAATGCCTGTTACATTTGGGTATTGCAAATGGTGAATCCATTCGGGTATTGCAAACGGTGGAGCTATAACGATGACCAGGCGTTCGATCTGGGAAGACGTTAGCATGACGGACTTGCTCTTTCTGCCCACTGGAGTCTTGAATGCCTGTTATGTCATGTCAACATGTGGGTGTCGCATATAAAATTATGGGAAGAGGGTGCGGCGGCAAGAGGACATGTCAGGTTTCCTTTCACATCAACACGGATGTGTTCGCAAAGCAATCTGGAGGGCAACCAACAGGTGAAGGACTTAGGTGGTGAGTTATTGATGATGTCAACAAATAAATGTGCTAGAGAGTCTCCAGCGGAGTAGTCAAGGATGGTCCGTCCTTTGTGAGGTCTTGATGATGTCAACATGTACATGATGTAAATATGCTGGAGCACCCTGGGGGGAGGCAAAGGGGTGAAGGGGGGGCCGGATTCTTAAACCACTGCCGTTTGAGCAGGACCTGTTGGTACAGATCGAGGGCCTTCTGGTACAGACGCGGGGCCTGCAGGCCTATATATATTTGATTGGAATTTGGAACCGTTGGTATACATGGGGATTCGGCAGTACACGCAGGAGACCCACTGGTATGAACAGAGGGGACACTTCAAGTTTTACCTCGGGCAGCTGCCCGGCCTTCTGGGCAAATCAGTGGCCACAAGGTCTCATAGCCAAAAAGGGCCTAGGTACTGGTACCAGCTCTGAGATAAGGGTGGGAGGAGGAGGAAGAGGTGAAAGTAATCTTCTTAAATCACCAACCTCGCCGCATTATTGTGTTTTCAAGCTCTGCCATGCTCGGGGGTTCCCTGTAGGGTCAGAGACAGCCATCGCACAGCCTTGGCCGCGGATGGTTTTGATATCGGCGGGCACCTGGTGCAAACGCACTGACGAACAAATCTGAGGCAGCACCATTGGGGACAGTTTCCAGTGCACTCGGTGAAAAGAACGAAAAACAATTTTGGGAAAAAAAAAACGAACAGAATGCATAGCACAAAACCTCCGAGACTCCGAGCCAACGCTGGTGCGCGCAACAACAAATCGCATGATGCAAAGTCTCCATCTGCTGCGACAATGGTGACGGCGTCAGACTCTTGTGCCTGTACACAAATCACTCGAGCCCGTCCCGAATCCTGTCAGAACAATGATGCCTATATGCCAATCGCGGGCACCAATCATGGGCGCAAAGGCACCAATCGCGGGCACCAATCGTGGGCACCGGTGTCCGATTCTCCTGGGGCAGCACTCAAAGAGTCTGACTCCCCCCCTCTACATCCCTTCTCCACCATGGCTGCTCGAAGTTTTGCTCAACGTCATCATCCGTCTACTAGGTGCAGTAGCCAGCCATGGGCAGGTTCGGCACCCGGTGCCACTAGGGTACCGGTGGTTTAACCACCACTACCGTCTTCCCCCGAACATAATGCACCCTAAAAATGAATGTATACAAGCTATATTTCCGGCCAGATACAGCCAAAATAAGGGTGTGTGGTTTTTAGGGGGAAGAAGGTAGTACACGGCCCCAGCATTGAAGAAAAATGTCGAGTTCCCCGCTCCGACAATTTTGGGGCTCGGGGAAGGCCCAGTAGTGCATCGGGCGAGGAAACCGATGCGCCCAAGCAAAAAAAAAGGGGCAAAATTAATTGGACTGTAATATGCCCTGCTGGTTTATGCCATGCAATGCCATGTGTTTCTACGTGCTTGGCTCTTTCTGATGTGACTCCACATGAGAGGTGGGGAGCAATCGATTCCCTATCAGCCCCTTCCAGTTCAGGGCATTCTCATGCGAGCCCTTTCCAGAATGCATCTGACCAAAGTTATGGGCCTTATGGCCCATCAATTCCTTGTCAGCCCTTTCAATTTCAGGCCATTCTCACGCTGATACTTTCCAGAACGTATCTGCCTGTACTTCCGGCCAGGGGGTGGAAAACAAGTGAGAACGAGAAAACGACAGCCGCCTTTCATTCCAGCTGTGCTGGCAGCAGGTGCCCCATAGAGGGCGCTTCCAGTGCCAACCAACAAATTTCCCCTAGCTGTTGTTCCCCCCCGCCTCCAGGCTCCGCAAAACTCGGCGCGCAGGGGGCGCGTCGGTTAGGTGAAACAGCCCCAGGTGTTCTGGTGGTTTAAACCACCAGTACTTGGGCACTGCGCGCCGCGCCGGCCGCCCAAATCTCGAAGCAGCGCGGGCTGTCGATTCGATTTATCGCCGGCCCGCCGGCCGCGGAAATCGCGTAGCATTAACGCTAAGGCGTCGCCCAAGTACTGGTGGTTTGAAAGGGCAAAACTCGGTACGCAGGGGGCGCGTCGGTTAGGTGAAACAGGCCCAGGTGTTCTGGTGGTTTAATTGTGGATTTACCTTTCTTTATGCCGGTGAACCTCCAGCACCTCCTCCATGGCGGTCCCCACCTCCATATTGGTCAATGCCTTCTCGGACTTGTCCTGCTTCCAATCAATCATCTGATAGTCGGCTTCAAGCAGGAGGGCTCCAAACACCACCTTGGATTGACAGATGAAAAGGATGCCACACATGCCACGTCGTTACATCTGTCATTCAAACTGTACTGTGTATTCTGTGTTTCATCAACTTTTATCATTTTATGCGAAAAAAGAATAAGGCATCCAAATAATATACTAATCCGCAACATGGACTAGTTGTTCTTCTCCCAATAAACAGACCGTCTGATAGTCAGCTTCAGGCAGTATAATAGGCTATTAATAGCTCCACAAATACCACGGCGACCTTTTAAGTTACAGACGAGTCGCACAACATAGATGTCGTTCAGACTCCAGAGTTTATTATATAACGCTACATGGACAAGACGCATAAGAGTGACTGTCATAAGACGTCCAAAGACACCATTGGAGGATTGGAGCTTGGCATTCATGACTTGTGTATTATATTATGCTACATGGATAAGACTTGTAACTTCTCATAAGAATGGTCATTAAAAAAAAAAAAAAAAAAAAAAAAAGACATCCAAAAACACCGTTGGAGGCTTGGAGCTTGGCATTCACGACTTGTTCTGCTTCCGATCGATCAATCAATCAATCAATCAATCAATCAATCAATCATCTGAGAGTCAGCTTCAAGCAGTAGCAAATTTAGCACTCTAGAATCTAGAAGCCAAGCAAAGGTGCCTTATATATAATATTCCTTTTTTTTTTTTTTTTTTTTTTTTTTTTTTTAACGAATAGCCCTTATGTAAACCCTCTATCCCAGTGGTGGTAAGAGAACCGTCAGGATTGAGGGTTTATCTGTCAGGCTGCTCCATCTATTGGTGGGGAGCGGCACCTGCTGGAAACCGGGTCCAGCGTCCCATTGATACATCTTCTAATATGGAGATCGCTGTTTGTTGTTTCCTGCGCCTGTGAGCTTTTCTCTTCTCAGACTCGGGTCTAATAGTCGATTACAATACAGCTGCGGAATGTCAGCCTTGGGCACTGGGCCCGTAATTAAAAAAAAAAAAACAAAAAAAAACAAAAAAAAACAAAACAAAAAAAACAATACAGCTGCGGAAAACGAAAAATGACTTGTGGTTCGGAAAATCATCACCAGTGATTAATGGGGTAAACTGTTTTCAACTTTTCATTGCTGAAATCAGGTTGTTCTGAAGTGTTTTTGTCCATTGGAAATTCGAATTGTCTGTGGTGACCGTTTCCAAAAAAACGCTGAAAATTCCGAAAATTGAAAATTCACTGAATGCGAATTTGAAATTTTCATTCGTGTACTTTTGCCTCACCACCGTTTCACCCCCCTGTTTTTTTTTTTTTTTTGGTGGTGGTTTGCTAATAATATGGTGTGCACTGTGCACACTGCACTCTATGGCATGATGCAATTTTTGGTTAAAAAGGTCTTCGTGTTTTCTTATACTTAGCATTAAAAAACCGCTGAAATTTTGGGTCTCCGTTAACCTCTCACTCATACCAGAGGTGACATAGAGGCCAGTCCATGTCTGTGTGTGATCCAGTGTGTGATTCGAAATGGATACTGTATGACCGCCAACGGTGACAAAAGGAGGCCGCTGCGGAGCCACATTGTCCCATCTCTCTCTCTCTCTCTCTCTCTCTCTCTCTCTCTCTCTCTCTCTCTCTCTCTCTCTCTCTCTCTCTCTCTCTCTTGTGTCTGTGTGTGTCTAGTCTGGGCAAGTGGGACCTCATGCCGGAGTTGCGGGGGCCAAGTCCCACTAGCAGCATTGAGCTACCTCAACGCCTGAATCTGGACGTGTTTGTGGAGACGTGCAGTTCAGGAAACTCAACACCATTTCTGCACATCTCCGCAAAAGCGTCCTCATTCAGGCGTCGAGGTAGCTCAACGCTGCTAGCGGGACTTGGCCCCCGGTGGTTTTATCCAAGGAATGGTCATGTTGACCAAAGAGCAGGATGACCTTTTTTTTTTTTTTTTTTTTTTTTTTTTTTT